TTAAGGAGGCAATTCCAAAAATCACAGCATAAGAAGGTGGGCAGAGAAAAACTGCACTGTGCAATAGCTCATTTCACAAGACGAAATGGGGACAGGGCTGATGTACTTTTGAAGGTGGTTGCAAAAGGATAGGGATAATTGGGAAAAACGCACGAATAAGGATTTTAATTATATATACTAGACAAATTAAGCTAACGTAGGTCAGCAAGAGAGAAATTGAATGAACACTAATTTGGATGGCTGGGTACTGTGCAACTTGAAGTTTACAAACAGTGAAGGATGTGATGTCTGCAAATAGGATGTTGAAAACAGTTGAAGTTATGCATAAATGTTTCAGCTAATGGCACTAAGACAAGGAGCAGAGACAAACAAAGCTGAGGTATCAGAAGCAAATCTGATGCTCACTTTTTAATTACATGGGATGGTGGCATTTACACTCCGACTACCCCTGAGTAAATAGCTCAATGAAATCAGTGGCAAAAAATATAAAGTTTATGGCAAGGGTCAAAAGCAACGCCCTCACCTACCACAATATACTCTCTAAGGCCAAGAGAGGTGGCAGAGTGATACATCTTGACATTAACTGCAATAATAAGGAAACTGCACTCATGCTTCCTATTGATGTAGCCAGGTAGCATATTGAAGAGAAAGAGTATGAGACAGGGGAACACATCCTTGGAAACTTGGATTATTACTCTGTAGGTCTACACAGAGAATCTGTTACGGTAGGTGTAGTGGAATGGAGAAGAGATCAAAAAGTATTTGGCAATGATAATGTGAAGGAATGCCTGGGCAGGTAAGGCAGTTTAGGTGTCAAGGAAAGAATGTTTCTCACAATGGCAAGAGGGTTTACGTTTTGATATTATTATTAACTTGAAGTGTTATGCACTTGACTAAAACCAGTCAAATTTAAAGAAATAAAATGTTTGTTTAGCTTTAAAATATATTCAACTAAAATATCAATTAAGAACTGGCAATTTAAGATTTTGAATTCATAACAAAATAAAGCACCACCACCCAAACAAAAAGTGAGATAAAGCTGATCGTATATCTTTTAGTTAAAAAATAAAATCAAACATTTGGCTAAGAAATCAAAATATTTTCTTTCAAGTTTAAAAACTTTTGGTTTGGTAAATGATTTAGGATTTGTAATGGTACAATAAAAGGAATTGATAGATAGAATAGCTTAAACGATATCCAAGATAAATAATCAAAAAAGACAATACAATCATAACAGTAAACATACATTCTCAACTAAAGAAAATAAATAACTAAACCTGTCCCCTACCGTAATAATAATTGCACATAACTGATCCATCTTTTCCCTAAAATAATTGCAAGCATTTTCAAATACAAAAATGTGTACAACTGTTCCATCCCAGTGTATTTCTTTCACTTATTATAGACTTCAGTCAACATTTTATTACTGAAAAATTTATTTTAAGGCATGCAATTCCAAAAGAATAAACTAAAATACATTTACGGGATGGCCACTATTAGCATTGAAATTTTTAGTCAAAATACTTGTTAAAAGCAGTTTTTGCAATAGAGCCTAATCAAATGGACAATTCATACATTTTGCATATTCTAGTCATCCACTCCCAAGAGTGCTGGATACCAACCTCATTGATACTGACTTCGGCCTCCACATACTGCAAACCTTTCTGTATGATCGAGATGAGAGCTGCTGGTGGCACGAGGGCACCATTAATATTGGACTGACTGATGTGACTCTCTATACCAAATGTGAATGCTGAATGGGAAAAACCTTTGATAGAAAGATAATGATAGCTTAAAAATGAATTACATACACATATTAGTAAAAATAGATTTTTTTTAAATTATGCTCGGTTTCTCTAATGATAAATACATAAAGACTATTTAGTGGTGTCATAACTTTAGACCTCATCATATACTAAAAAATCTAAGACATGCATACATATCCTGTTTGTAAATATTATCTGCTGTTGCATATTTCATGTGGACATCTACAATGCAAATGTTTGTCCAGCATAGCTTGTTGATGAACCAAATCAATGGAAAATGTCTTTGAAGAAAAATAATTCTCAATTTTACCTCAGTAACTCGAGAAATGGATTAGGCAAGTAATTTAACAAATGATACCCACTTTACGAACTGCTCCAAGACATAAAACCGGTTTTCAGCAATGGGAGGACAACAAATGTTAATACCATGTTTCCAATGTTCCCTGATTTTCAGATATCTCCTAGTATTTCCAGAACCTAAGAACTTCCCGACCCCTACCCAATTCTTCCTGAATCCATTGTTCCTGCTCAATCCCACTCAATTTTCCTTGATCCTATTCTCTGCACCTCCAATACTCACACAACTCTAACCTTTCCAATGCTCCCGAAACCATAAAGTTCTTTTCAGGACAACAGCACCCTTAGACACTATTCCAATATTCAAACTTACATATAGACCAACAATAATGTAATTTTAATCACTGAAATGGAACAATGAAGGTGAGATGTGGTGTGGAAGCATGTTGGGAAATGGGCGTTATGAAATCACAGTGCTGTTCATACTGTGTGTGTGCGCGCGTGCACGCGTGCGTGTGTGCGCGTATATATATATATATATATACACATATACACACACACACACACACACATATACACACACACACACACACTATCTCAAGTGCTTACATTAGCTTTAAAAGATACATGCGTGGCAAGTGCGCAGAGGCCTAGAAATTGTGATGTGAAGTGCTTATTCTTCAGATGCCAGTGTCCTATGTGCACGAAACATCATGCAGAAGCATGCAAGTAGAACACCTTTCATACACAGTTACCTGAAGCAGGTATAGGGCTTTACATATGCAAACAAGGAGCCAAAAACTTATTTCAGATCGTTTCTTCACAGAAATCATCACAGAATCCTCACAGTATGGAGGCCATTTGGCCCAGAGTCCACATCAACAGTCCAAAAAGCATCCCACCCAGACCCATCCTATCCCTGTAATCCTGCATTTCCCCTTGGCTAATCCACCTAGCCTGCACAACCCTGAACACCATGGTCAATTTATCATGGCAAATCGACTTAGTCCAAACATGTTTGGACTGAGGTAGGAAACCGGAACACCCAGAGGAAACCCACGCAGACACGGGGACAATGTGCACACTCCACACAGACAGTCGCCCGAGGCTGGAATTGAATCCAGGTCCCTGGTGCTGTGAGGCAGCAGTGCTAATTGCTGAGCCACTGCCGCCCAAACAGCACTAACTGCACTAGTGAAAGTAGTTTTCAAAAAAAAAGTTAAAAGTTATCAACAATAAAGCACTGCCCTGATTAATACATTTCTGTAACACCAACAATCCTCCCTTCCCCTGCTTCGACACTTCACTTCAATGTCTGGTCCATAATCTTATCCCCCATCCTCTCCAATGAACCCTGAGCTCCATGGTCGGCAAACGATCACTCACTAAGTTTTCCTGCCAAGATCACAGCTAGAAATAATTCAAACATTTCAAAGCCCTCTTTCATTATTTGCCATACTTACCAGACTCTTGCAAATATCTATATACCAGAAAGTTGACCTCATCACTGCTAATACTCATCTTCAGTCCCACTTAAACATCAGGTCATTACAGCGTAAGCCTATATATTAAAGTAAAACAATGTAAGAGTTACGAAATAATTTGGTACATGCACTGTAGAAAATGAGGTTTATCAATTACAATTTCATTTATATTTCAGCACATTAATGTGCAAGAAGATTGTTCTATAATAAGCCATAATACTAGGATTAAGTATCGCTCAGCTGTGATATCCTGAACACTAGTTGCTGCAATTCAATCTGATAAAATTGAACTTTGCATTGTTCAGTTATCATAAATTTTTACAGTGAAAAATTGCAAGCCAGAGCTTCCACATTCAAATTGAAATGTTAATTTGGTGATCTTAAAATTGTCTACTAACCACTTTACAGAATCACATGGGATATAATAATTCTGAAACAGTTGGCCATCAAGCTAACAATGTTATACATCCAACAGAATTTGGGATTCAGCATTCTCCAGCCAAAACGTCTGCATAATATACAGGAGCATATTGCGCTTTGGCACAGTAGATTGAAGAGTAGTGTAAAAGTAATTGATATATATTCAAAGTATTACATGCCATAAAAATTCAATCAAATTTCCAAAAAAAATGCATCAGCCTTAAAAACTAGGTTCATTACAAGCTTCACAACTGCAAGGACTCAAGTGTCTTCCAAATGTCTTTTTCAAAGAGCCACATGGTTGAAATTATGGAAGTTTTGGTGCTGCTGGTGTTCATACCTTTAACACAAATCAAAAATATTCTTTGAAAAAAGAAAATCACACTTTTTTTACCCTCCTCAATCTCAATTATTTTGTTTCTAGGTCTCATGTTCTTGATCAAAATTAATTAGTTTGGATTTTGCAGTATTAATAGTGGGGCTCGTAGCCACATTGAGATATTTTGGGAATTTGGGCTGAGAGCTTAGTTACCATGATTTTCATGCCTATTTTCCTTAAACTGATAATTGCTGAGGCAGGGCCTAGGATGTTCCACACAAATTATGAAGTAATAGACTGCTTTTTTGTTTGTTAATGAACATTTATCATGTAGTCAATATATCTAGATGCACCATGTATTATTACAGTCTTGTGCAATTCTCAAAATATTTTCTTGAGCTTTGCAACAGAAACAAGGAAGTACTTTCAGGAGTTGTAAAACCTGGAGCTTCTCTCATTCATTCTCAATTTGAGCCATACCAAGATTTGGCTATTACTTTCCGGACTGTTTTTACGAATCATTGGTTGCATATCAAGTGTGGTGCCCTATATCAGATACACATGCATTTTTTTGGGGCGCAGGGGAATCAGTTTTGTCAAGGGAGATGTTTGGGAGGACATATACTGTTGGGCTTACCCTCCCAAGAGCTTGTTTAAAAGGCTGGGAGTAAGGGAGGGAGCTTCCACAATTAAGGCATTAAACAGACCAGGGGCTCCAGCTCAGCCTCGCACCTGGGTTTCCAGGCTCACCTTCAGTGTGTTGCTGCTACTTTCCTCAATTCACTCCTTCTGTATTTCTCTCTGGGTCTGTCTCTTTATGGTTGAGCTGAAGACTGACCTCATGTCACTAGGGTGTGTGGTTTCACTGGCCACATACTACATTGGAAGACTTCAATGTTTTGTTTGATGCTAGACCGTGCCACAGAAATGATAGTTCTCATCGTGGCCTACAAATCAGCTAAGTTCACATTCCACTGTGCAGTCAATGACAAATGGTGCCGTTTCAATGCTGACCGCAAAACCCAAGCTGGTGTGTTTTGATTTGAACCATACAGTCTCTGCCGTGTTGATATTTTCTGGTCATTTTGAGGAGTTCAAGAGAAACAAAAAGGTTTACTTTTCACTTAGAAGGTTACCATCTAATTACTTTGCACACAAGATTAAATTTCAATATATATGAAGAGCCTGTTACAAAAGCTCTCTCTTATCTTCAGAATGAGTAAAACAAAAATTGAAAAGTAACTCAAATTATAACAGGACACTTTAATCCATAGTCCTAATGTTGTTAACTATATCAACCATTCCATTATCAATTTGTAATCAAGCACACTGAATTTAAAACAGCAGCACTTTCCAAAGAATAAGACCTGTACTTTGAAGGCAAGATTCAAATTTGATATTATATAGACCTATGATCTAGCAAGCCCTGGATATCAAGATTTGATTTCATCTTGCATCAATTATTTTCTCTTTGAATAAAACTGTAATATTAGTAAAATGGGCTTGTCAATTTCCATCCAAAACAGTTGTAGCAATTCACCATTTTTGTTTCTTAAGAATGTTAGTATATGCTAGTATATTAATAAAATCACTTTTAAGCTAAATGCTGTCAGAAGAAAACTGCATTAAGCCGACAAATACATTCAGAAAACCAATGGCTGCATGTTCTTTAGAAAGAAGACCATTAAATCTCACCTTTCATGAATAGGCTAGCAACACATTCTGAAGACTCCGGACAAAATTAAGGATGTATGTTTCACGTCACCTTCGGTCACTAGGCATGTGGTAAAGCTAGAAAGGAAAAACAAATAAAAAGTATTATTAACTTTGTGCAAGGGTTCAAAACGAAAAATGGAAGCAGTACATGGCGGCAATACCTATAAAGCTTTTAAGTACCAAGAGGACAACATACGGCATCGTTTTCCTCAGTTACCCACCTACAGCTTTTTATTCAGATTTTCTCAACAGTTAGGTATTCTTTGAAGTTTAACTATACAAGAACTAAAACCCCAGAGAAAATTTACTTTGATTCAACAAATACAGCCTGAATTTAAACCCAAGTTGACATGATGGAAGGGTCACCACCTAACATATGTTACATATCTACTTTCTCAGACAACAAGAATTTTTAATATGCCATTTTTGGGCTATTACTTCTGTTCTAATTAACTGCAGACCTCATGTTAAAAATCTATCAATATTACAGATTAAAGCTTTTAATTAACTACTTCCTTGGACATCAAGCCAGAATTTTTACTGAATAAAATAAAATATACAATAGGAAATTTAAATAGGAGAGGTTAACATCAGCTAGTGAATATTAACATACTGCAAGATAGCACTGTTTCAATTTACTGTTCCAATTAATTCATTACAATAAAGGCATATGCAAAACCACATGAATCATTATGTATTATTCTCATGTTGTGTTGAATATTCAAGGTCACGTCAACAATAAAAGGTTATCAGCACAGTAAGTGGTCATTTGGCATACCTAGGCCCCAGCAACAACTGACAAATCAAACTAATCCTAGCAATCCCCATTTTTCCTCCCAACAGCCTCGCACCTTTCTGTAGTTCACATTATTAAAATCATAAATAGACAAATGAAATTCAACACAGACTAATGTGACAGTGAATTTTTGTGGAAGAAAACACAAAAGTGTCACATTACCTGAAAGGTGCAAGTCTAAGTGTGATACAGGAATAAAGGGATCACAGAATATACTCACCACAAAGTTGAGCCACAGGTCAGAAAGACCATTAGAAAACTGAAAAAAAGGCTCGATTTTTATCTCTAGAGCAACAGAATTGGATACTTGGGAAGTATGTCACACCTTGCAAAACCATCCTTAAAAGCTGTTCTGGTCACCAGTTTATAAAAATAATAAAATCATTCAAGAGGGTGCAGAGAGGATTTACAGGGATGAAACCAAAAATGCCTAGATAAACATATCGTAAATGAATTGACAGGTTGAGTCTCTTCACTGGAAGGTAGAAATCGGAGGGTTGACTATTGAAGTTTTAAAATTATGAAGTGTGTTTATGGAAAAAGACAATATTTACTGTTATAGAGAAGAATGTAACTTGAGGCTATCAATCCAAGATAGTTAATTTTTTAAAAATCCACCAAGGGACGTTAGAAGAAACAGTTATCCATCCAAAAATGTGGAACCTGTTACTACAAGGAGTGTCTAAAATTAATAGGATAGATGCATTTAAGGGTCAACTAGACACGCACTTGTGGACGAAGAGGCTATAGGGTAATGCCAATAAATTTAGGTGATGAAAGACAAGGAGACTTTCATTGAAGCACAAACAGATTCATTGGGCCGAATTACCTATTTCTGTTTCATGTGAGAACGGCCTATCTCTGTTCCTTGGTGAGAGTACACCTAGAGTATTGTGTACTGTTTTCGTCTTCTAATCTAAAGGAAGCTTTTGTGGCAATGGAAGGTGTGCAATGAAGATTTACCAGACCGATTCCTTGGAAGACAGGTTTGACAAACAAAGAGGGGCTCAATTGGTCAGCACTACAATCACTGGAGTTGAGAAGAAAGGGAGTGTCCAGCGAGGAGAGAGAAGAATCTCAGAAACCTATAAAATTCTAACTGGACCAGCCAGGGTAAACACGTGATGGAAATTCCTGATGACCACAGAATCCAAAACCAGGGGGCCACAGTTCTAAGGATATGGGATAGGACTGACGTGGAGAAATTTATTTCTCCAGAGAGTGCTGAGCTTATGAAATTATCTGCCACAAAGAGAGGTCGAGGCCAAAACACTGAATGTTTAATGAGTTAGATGTTGTTCTTCAATCTAAAAAGGATCAAAAGGATGGTCAACCATGATCATATTGAATGGTGCAGCAGTTTGAAGGGCCTAATGGCCTACTCCTGGTCCTTTTTCTACACTATGTGTCCCTTGCAATCATATGTATACCTCCCTGAAAAGTTGAGATGGTCCCTCTTTAGCAGCTGCTCCTGTAATAAAGCATTTCAAATTCTAACAATCCTCTGCATTAACTAAACACTTCAAACCCCTATGTTCAAATAATTTTAAATAATTGATCCCAGTTACTAACCCTCACTCAAAGGATACAAGTTTTCGCTATTCATTCAATAAATACCCTCAAATTTTAAAAGCTTTCATTGATCCTCTTCCTAATTATTCTCAGCTCAAATAAATATAGTTCTAGTATCTTGATGTCTAAATTTAACTTCAAAAAAGATAAATGCCTTTCAAGAAAGTAGAAGATAACAGCAATTAATATTTCAGAAACATAAAAAGTTTAAGAAAACGCTTAGTTATTCCACTCATTGTAGTCTAGAATTTCAACCATAAATCAGTCCGAAGAAAGATGCCCTAGGTCAAGAACTCAAATTCAAACCTATTTTACCATAATGCAACATCTCACTCAATGTTGAGCAAGTTTGCAAGTTTATTTTCTCTAGTATACAGTTAAGTCTGGACTGCAATTTTCTTTTTTTTTTAAAATAGGGACTGGATTGCACGATCATTCATACACTAATAGCAGGTTATAGTGAAATGACATTCTGTATTTACAAATTTGTTTTTCAAAAATAGCATCTTAAGATTACATGCCACACTGAGTGAACGCATGGATCTCACAATTTTAGCTGGGCTCCCAAGGCTTAGTGGAAGACAGACGCCAAGGAAAAGTGATTCACCTGCCATAGGGAGTGGACTTGTGCCACACTTCCACAGTTGATAGCAGTTCTGCCACAGATTTCAAAACAATTGATCTGGCAACTCAATCAACTGAGGACTTACCAGCTTGACTTAGGAAAGACTTAGCAACAAATAAAAAGAGAGAATACAGGTATTAATTGTTCAATTGGCATTTTAAATAGCTGATCCATCTTGCCAACTTTCCCCTCAACGACCAATTGCAACCCTATGAAAAATTAGAAAAATGAGCAAGCATGGATGCGCAAGTCACTACAGGAACATGGTTACTATAGTAAATCTAGGACAAAAGCAGAAGTGGACTTTATAGACCTCGTGGAGAGAAATTCCACCACGAACCTTAAAAATGACACGTAGTCAATTTCTGAGAAGATTTTGCCCTTTGTTGTTAACATGTATGTTTAATCTACCCCTAGGCACCTCCAAAAGAAACTAAGCAATCTAAGTTCACAATTTTCAGTTATGTAATAATAAACATCCTTTATTTCAGGATATAATATATTTGTCCAGTGAGTAATGATAGCAACTTTAGCATCAAAAATTCCATAGCAGTGTATAATTCAATCTCACATGCAAACACTAACATTGAGATTGGAGAAATAGTGTTGTCTAAATATATGTAAGATTGACTGATATATTAGACACAAGTATGCATTGCATTATATAGATTGTATATAAGCAAGTGGCGGGGGGGGGTGGGAGAGAATAAGCAGAAGCACGGGAGTAGGAAATCAAACAGAGGAGATATGGAGGAAAGTAAGCAGACCCTCTACTTTCTCTTCCAGTTCCCCCTCTTTTCCTTCTAATTTGAACCTCATGCCACTTTTCCAGCCACTTCTCCCTATTGTTATGATCCCAGTTATTATTATTACTGGACAAGTCAATTCCCAGATTGAAATATGGCTTGAGAGGTCATTTTTTTTTTAACATGGTGGTGTTTTATTGAAATAAGAGCATGCAACAGTGCAGATTTGGCTTTAATAACGAACAGACGTTTATTGCGCAAAACGCAAGATAAAATAAAACAAAGTATTTACATAACACAATTTTGAAAGCTTTCAAATTAAACAATTCAAAACACGATCCCATCTATGCTGCCACCACAACTTTGCAATACCATGAGCAATCAGTTGCTTACAAGCATGATTGTCCATCTTGGAAATTGGTTCTGTGAGCCCGATCCTCGAGCCGCATCTCGGACCACACGAGCAATATTACATTCTTGTGCTCTCTCTCCACGACTTGTTCTTTCTTCCTCATGCCTGTCTTACCTTCTGTGGGCTGCTATTTTATCCTCCCACCAGCCTCCACGTTGTCTCATTCTTAAGCCTGATTTTTTATCTTCCTACCACTCCCCTATGTTTTTGCTCTCTGTTCCAATCTATTCTCTTGCCAGTCTCCCTGCCCTCACTCTGCGTGGCTCCTATATTCTCTCAAAGGGCTCACTATGCATTTATTTCAGGCCTGCTCTTTTATTCTCGTCAGCCTCACTGGGCTCTTGCCTGGGCCTGTTCTTAATACAACCACCAGTCTCTGAAAGTTTACAAAATGTTTAAAGGGTTGGCAAAGCCTGCACGTTAACCAAAATTCTCCTGATATATTTGTTACCAAGGTTAATTAAGATCTTCATCAGGAATAAACATCATTATATATGTTTCATGTTGACTTTCAATCACAGTAAATAGAAGTACTAAAGTTACAGTGAAAATTGCAGAGTTGAAACAGTTTATTACCCATGTCTATTTTTAAATCATTATTAATTTATAAATCTTGGCTTTAGCAACAATTCTCTACTAAATAGAATGCTCTAAGTGGATTTTGAACACCAGACAAGAAAGAAACCATTATAAGACTACTGACATACTTGGAACTATGGACAATGATTGTAAATAAAATCTTAAGCACTTTAATTTGAATTTTTACAGTCAACTAAATTCCCAGAAAGCTTTGAACGAAGTGAAAAGCAGACTTTTTAAAGTGTGTAGAGAAGAATCTTATATAAGTCGGTGCAACATAGGCTATGGCAATTATTTAGGAAAGGCCTATCTCGGCATTGGGAGCAGCGCACAGCATTTTTTGTT